CTTTAGGATCACATTCAATTCAAAATTGTTTGACATGATAACTCTATTATTTAATATGAGTTCTAATTCTAATTCAACTATATAGTCATAGTAATCCCAAAAAATTGGACAAGTACAATTTTTTAATGTCTTAATAATTTCTTATTTAGGAGCCACTCCAAAGGCAGTGCTTCAATTGATGAATGTTAAAGGGCTTAGTATCTCTCATGTGAAGAGTCACTTGCAGGTATATATGCTGTTATTTTATTTTGATTTTGATTGTTATATTTTTTTTAGGGTAATATAATATAAATTAATTTTTTGATCGATGGCTTCTTTTTTTCTTTTTTTTTTTTTCTTTTTTCTGGTTTTTAGATGTATAGAAGCAAGAAACTTGACGAATCGGGAAGAGGTAATTACTCGTGTGTTTCACATTTTATAAATTTAATTAATATCTTTTTTACATAAATTGAAAATAATTTACTAATTAATTATTGATCATATTGAATCTTGCATTGAATTTCGCATGTGACAGTAATAGGTCAATCAAATAGGCTGTACATTCAACGAAGGAACCAATTACTCTCTGCAAAAACCCCTTTTCACCAGCTGAGATTTGAGAATGGCGGCATTGTCTTTGCACGACATGGCGATTGCACGTTCGATTTCCCTCCAAACCCTAAATCCTCGAATTATTCGACCCATCTCATTAATAATCGGTAATAACTTTTTCTCGTATTATCTAATGCAAACTTGTTGCTTAACGAAAATTAAAACTGGTGTAAGGCAGTCTAACCGTTATTATGTCGAGCTCGAACCATCAATTTTTTTTAATAAAAATACATACTTAATTATACTATCAAATATCGTATTTGTGACTATATTTTTAAACAATTAACGAAAAGTTCAATTTTTTGAAAACCATGTCTGTCTAACAACAAATTAATTGTTGTTGCTTGCAAAACAGATATCAACAGTTGTCTATTCCTAGACATTTTCATCCCATGCAAGAAAACCACATGAACCAATCTCTTGAAGGAAGAAAATGGCCTCAAAATGAGTGTAAAGAGAAAGAAATGTCGATATCTAACTCACGAACGCAATCTTTTCGCAACATTTCTATCGGCAGCAAAATCGGGACTAATGATCAACTGAAATCGGGCATCGTGTTTGACCGTAAACCTAATAAGTCGCTCAGTCTTGATCATTCCTTGAGGCATCAGGTATGTGAATGCAGTATAAAACATAATTAATATTGTTTTTCATTTAAATGTCATGAATTGCTTGATTAATTGGTCGACTAGTTTGAATATCGATTGCTGGTTATGTTTCTACATAAAGTGTGTTTGGTAAGTATCATATGCTAGCTTATAACTTATTTAATTAGATTATAGGTCTTTTAATTTGTTTTCATATAAACTTAGTTTGGTAATTAAGATGAGTTCTGCAAAAAAGTACGAAACTTATCTCGTAACTTCTCTAGTTCTCTAAGTAGCTTTTCGAAAAAGCCAGTTGATTTTCTAAGTAACTAATACTTTATCTAACATTTTTATGATATCATTTAGTTTTTCAACCATCACTTATAAACTAATATCTATAAACTCGTAATTTACTTATGCTATAAGACGCCTTTAAGCTAGCTTTTCAACAAACATACTAGAAAATGTTTCTATATATATAACTTATTGAACTTATTCATAGGAATTAATATATTCTACCTTATGTTGTTTAATTTGTAATTCAAATACAGATGAAGGACCAAGAGAAGAAGACGATTACTCGTAAAGAATGGTTTCCTTGTGATTTGCAGCTAAATTTGAGCCTCGGCCTCAACAACAATAATAACATAAACGATCACAAGAGTTGCAGTAAAGGAGGAGAACCAGATATTAACACGAAGCTTTCTCTTGCGTTCACTCCGCACTCATCGACTGCAAATTAACTT